TGCTGAAGACTAATTTTCATTAACCTTTCTTTGTACCAGGCATCTTTTAAATAAATATATTTGCTTCTTAAAACAACAAAAATTATTTAGTTAAATTTTATGATTTAAATAAAAAGCATAGATTTGGTGTTAATGGCAGCACTATCTACTTTTTAAACTGGCATCAGTCTGATGATGATGGTGGTGGTGGTAGTCATGATATTAATATTTAGTTAATATTTATTGGGTGCTTATTATATGCCTGTTACTGTTCTAAGCACTTTACTTGAACACAACAGCCATATGAGATAGGTATTATTATTATCCCCATTTCACAGGTAAGAAAATGAAGGGATAAGGAAAATTACTTGCCCAGGGTTTCCTAGCTAGTAGGTAGCAGTTGAGATTTAAACTTAAGCAGTCTGGCTCCAGAATCCATCCTCTTAACCACAGCACTTAACCACTTCTGTTATAGGTAGGATTGAAATAAGTTGCTTCAGTTTAAACAGTGGAAATGCAATAACTTATAAAAATGTTCATAGTTTTATTTCACACCACTGATTCTAATATGGTCCAGGTGTCTTGATTTTTCTAAATATTAGAAAATTGAACTTGTTAACCCTATTGATTGCATATTATCTGTTCTCAAAGTGTTTTATCATCCACTTTTAAATAAATCATGAGATGAATAATGGCATGCTGGATTTCTTTTTCCAAAATTACCAAACTAAAAAATTCAATCTGTTAATATTAACTAGTTTGAGTTACAAGTTCAACACCTTTAGCTAGTTGCCAAAATTTCCCTGAATTTATGACCTGAGTATTCTCATAAATGGCAGGAAAGTTGTATCTAAAATATAATACCTTCATTTATGCTATTTAAACTTTAAATTGGTTTTTAACAGGATAAGAATAGGTAAATTATGAAATAATAAAGTATTTTACTTTTTAAGATTTGTACCTGCTCTGATTTATTTGTATTTGTATGGGTTTGTTTTAAGCTGTGCTTGAGGAACTTGTTAATAGTGGACGCTTACGAGGCACTGTGGTTGGTGGGAGACAGGATAAAGCAGTGTTTGTCCCTGACATCTACTCCAGGACACAGAGTACTTGGGTGGATTCCTTTTTCAGACAGAATGGCTACCTAGGTAACTATTTTTTTCTCCTGAAACTAAAATTTTTTTCTAATACTAAACATTCTTAAAAAGTATTGTACTAACCGTGGAGTCCATGTGTACTTTCCTGTTCTTAATCAGAAGATTATAATGGTTCTCTTTGAGTATAAAAGTAATCACACTGCAGGTTTCTGTGGGTCTTGGAACTGAGTTTAATTCCATAGGTACTGAACAATTATAATGTAGAAAGACCAAAATCTGTTATTGTTACCAATCTTCCAGTTATATTAAGATGATACTACTGAACTACTAAACTTCAAGTATTTTTAATTTATAAAAGTAATTACATTTATTATTATATCTTGTATCTTATGAAGTTGCCCAGTTTTTCAGATACATCATCTTAGAAATATTTTGTTTGCTATCAGCTTTACAGTGTTTATTTCTATTAGTTTTCCAGTACTTCAAAAACATTGAAGTTATTCTTAATTCTGTTTCTGAAGTTCTACTGTCATTTGGATAAAGTAGATTGACTGAATTCAGTTATTAAAACAATTAGCAAATATATATACATATAGCTCAGTTATATATAGTATATATATATATGTAGCTCACTTAGTTTGAGCAATTTTATAACCCAAGTTAAAACCATTAAAAGATTACTTAGTAATAATCCTGTAAATTATTGGTATTTAAATAATTTGAATATATACTAGGATATTGGATTTTGCTTGTGTTTTCTTGACTTCCTATGATGTACTTTTCAGTTTCTTCAACCATAGGCTTGGATTAGAAATTTGTTATAACTAGTGTTCTTAAGTATGATTATTTGGTGTAGGGATAGGGGAGTTAGGAAGATCTCTCCAATAACTTTACTGGCTATAACTTTAAGTGTTTATTTTTTACTTTTGTTTTATACTCTAAATCTTTTTCTAGTTTAAATTAGACTAGAGAATTACTTTGTTGTATGTTGTCTGATGAAACATTTTAAAAAATAAGTTTCATTCTTTTAATTAACTATAATCAAAATAAATTCCAGGTTCTGCTTCTTGAACCATTACCTTCTCCTTTATCCCCATTTCTGATTATATTACTCTGTAGTCCTCATGTTCCCCTTTGGTCCTTCAATTGGAGAGGGAGTGACACAGCTGATATTGAGGAAGTACTTGAACTAATTTTTCTATAAATTTCTTTGGTAATAAAAATTTGGAAAGGTAAGATAACCAGGAAATAGGCTGGGATACATTCCTATGCTTTATTCCTTAAAAATATTACAATACAGTGTGTTTACAATCAAACAGGTTTTGGTAGAACTTAAGTTTTTCTAAGATTTCTAAAAGGTGTGAATGATTTATAATTCTAATCCAACTTTTTGATGTATTTCTAGAATTTGATTCTTTGTCCAGACTTGGAATCCCAGATGCTGTAAGCTACATAAAGAAGAGATTTAAGACTACACAACTCTTGTTTTTGAAAGCAGCTTGTGTTGGTCAAGGACTTGTAGATCAGGTGGAAGCATCAGTAGAAGAAGCCATCAGCTCTGGAACATGGGTTGATATTGCAGTATGTTTTATCATTTTCTTCTCAACTTTTCTTTAAACCAGTGACCATTGATATATTACTAATATAAGGCCATTTAAATAATTAGGATACATGAAGGCAATGTTGGGTTTAGAAATTCTAGCAGTCATTGTTATAATAAAAATCTTTATTTTATGCACAAAATCTTTCTGGCTTTTGAAGTACAGGGTGACCTTCTACATGTGGATAGCGAACATCAAGAATTCTGTAAATCGGCCGGGCGTGGTGGCTCACGTCTGTAATCCTAGCACTCTGGGAGGCTGAGGCAGGCGGATTGTTTGAGCTCAGGAGTTCGAAACCAGCCTGAGCAAGAGCAAGACCCCGTCTCTACTAAAAATAGAAAGAAATTAATCAGAAAAATTAGCCGGGCATGGTGGCGCATGCCTATAGTCCCAGCTACTCGGGAGGCTGAGGCAGAAGGATTGCTTGAGCCCAGGAGTGTGAGGTTGCTGTGAGCTAGGCTGACGCCACGGCACTCACTCTAGCCTGGGCAAAAGAGTGAGACTCTGTCTCAAGAAAAAAAAAAGAATTCTGTAAATCTCAGACAAGAAAACAATATAACACCCATATCAATCCTGATACAGAAATTGATGAGACTTCTCACTGTCTTGTATTTACAACTGTACTGGCATCAGGCATCGGGTAGCATTTGTTTATCCCTTATCCTTTAATCTCTGCTAATGTATTAACACAAGCTGCTTTGGCATTGATAGTGTTTTACTTCAGTGTTCAGTGTTGACTTGCCCTTCGTTATTCCAAAGAGATAAGTGTAGGTAAAAAGAAAAATAAACAAGAGGACAATCCATTATTTTTTAGTCAGGGCTCAAATGCTCTTTATAAAGCATAAAATTCCCTGTTTTGGATACACAAGTTCCCAAAGATTCCAGATTTAAGTGTTTTTTAATTCATTTACAAATTTCATTAAATACCTTCTTTGTGCACCATTCTACTTGTTGGGGATGTGGTAGCCAGACAAGTTTCCTGCACTCAACAAGGGCACTTTCACTGTGGAGAGATTGTTTTTGAAAATAAGGTAATTTCAGGTTAGAAAGAGCGAAGACAAAATAGATTTTGGAGTTGAAGTTATCAGGACATGCTGTTGGATTGTTTGAGGGTTTGTGAGAGAGAGGAAGTGAGTGTACCGTGTAGGTTTCAATGTTGTCTTGCAGAATTAAATATGTCTGTTAGGCATACAAGTAGGGAAAGTAGGCAACCTGATATACAATTTCAGAGCTCGGAGTGATAATGAAATAAGAAATACAATTTGGGAAGTTAGCATAAATATGGTTCCAAAAGCCACTGAACTGAATGAGATCACTTAGGCAAAGCATATATATACATAACAAATGGTTTATCTGTATTATATTGCATTTATACTTCATTTTCTTTTTGTTTGTAATTCTAGCCTCTGCTGCCCAGTTCTTTATCAGTTGAAGATGCGGCCATATTGCTTCAACAGGTGATGAGAGCGTTCAGCAAACAGGCTTCAGCTGTAGTCTTTAGTGACACTATTGTAGTCAGTGAAAAATTTATAAATGACTGTACAGAACTCTTCAATGAACTGATGCACCAGAAAGCTGAAAAGGTATGCCAGAGTTCCTTTCATCTGCTAATTTTGGCAGTATTCTCACGTTAGAATCATCTGATGTCTTTTGGAAAATAGGATGAGCAGTCTACCCAAAAATGAATGCTATGTATCACATATCATTTTCCTTCAATGTATCATTCCTTTTTATTTCCTCTCTCAGATTTGTTTTTTCTCTTATTCCCATCAGAACATATAAATTCGAACTTGGGGGACTGATTTTATAAATTGAAATAACATAAATGAAATCATACACTTCACAATCAAGTTGCCTGAGGGTATTGGTCCAACTGTAAAACATTAGAATGTACACAAACATCATTTGCATGAATGTATAATATGAATAAATGTATGATATGAGTAAAAACACAGTTTATTTTTCAATCAGTATACAATATATTTACTAAATCTAGCAGAACTTTACTAATTTTACCTTTTTGGGATACACAAACATGATAACTTACTGAGAAAGGAAATTTTATTACCCCTCAGTCCCTCACAATTGATTAGTTCCTTAGAGCAAACAGAGCAACTGCTATCAAAGTATTTTGAAATAGAGGTGAAGCTAGGTCTGCTTTAATGACTATTCTGTTCATGTTTCTAGTTAGCAGTACCATCTTATAAAGCCTGCTCTCAAATAGGTAAAACAAGTCTGTTTTTCTTAGTTAAACTATTAATAAATACATGAGAGCTTATTAAATATGTAAATAATTTGTATTTAGCTATACTCCTTTTAAGCTCTTTAATAGTCTAAAAATGAAATAATTTTCTGCATTTAGCCTGATAAGCAACAGAGGAGATTAAATAGGATATAGGTTTGATACCAGTAAACCTGAGTTTAAACATACTTACTCTCTGTGTGACTTTAGACAAACAAACCTCCATTTTCCTTATCTTCAAAGAAAGGATGATGATATCTACTCTGGAAAAGATGAATATAAACAAATAAGGAATGTATATAAAATGTCTGGTACATGTTAACTACTAGTTACTAAATGACCATTATTTGTATCTGTGGTCTTTTGCTAAAGTAAAATTTAACATAGTCATCGCTTTTCTTTTTTCCTTGGGCTCTAACCTTCTAACCACAAAAATAAGTTCAGAAAAAGATGATTCTATTACTTGAACTATCAATATTCTAAGCATGTTTCTTTAGAAAATCAAAAAGGAAACAATAGCACTTTTACCATGAAAATGTACTTTTATCACTAGAGATAGTAGGACCCTTTCCCATGAGAAAGAACCTGTAACTGAACTTAGAAGTAGTTCATTGTTGTCAACATAAACTTTTAAAAAACAAAGATCGTCAAAAATGGGTCCAGGGAAAAAAATTGTTTATGTGACTTAGTATGCAACTTACATATGGTCATCTGGGTGGGGGATGGAGGGTTCTTTATCTTTCCAGTAACTTCAAGTGACATTGCACTTGGAAATCTCAAAAAGGGAACATGGGGCATCTATTCAGCAGTGTAAAACCGGTCAATAACAACAGCTGAAGAGGATTGCATCTGATGCTGTGTGATAAGTT